TTGACATTGATTGTCACTTTGTGCGTGAGAAGTTCAAAAGTGGGTTTGTGTTTCCAGTGCACTTATCCACGCAGTTTCAGCTTGCCGATGTATTCACCAAGATTCTGCCTAGTCGGCGTGCTCACGCGCTTCTGTCCAAGCTTGGCATGCTTCTCCCATGTCAAGCTTGAGAGGGGGCTGTTGGATATTCGTACATCGAGGCTTTTGGATTAAGCGTGTCACGTTTTTTGCTTCTTTTTTTTGTTTTCTATTTTGTTATCAGTTTTAGTTCTACGACGTCGTTCTGTGGCGTTTTGCTTGTGGTCACTAAAGTGACGTGTATAAAAGACCGTCTTCTTCATTTCTGAAAAGATAATTCAGAAAATGATATACAGAAATTTTGCCCCAAAGTTTTTCCTTTCGATTTCTTCATGAAGCTTCGGACAAGGAAAGACCTACACCGTATCTTCGGACCGGTGATATTCTGGAAATCAAATTGGTGTGCCGTTTTTCGTTTGTTTAGCCATATTTCAATACAGTCACATACTGATGCTTGCCTGCATTTTGTGTACTATTTGAGTAAACGTTGTTGTGTGTGTGTGTGCGCTCTACAGGAAGTACCTGGGAAGAAGCGCCGGTTGGCTGTATATAAAGGGATAGTCATATCGAAGCAAAATGCTGGCATCCACACTACGATTCGTATCAGGCGTATCATTGCTGGAGTTGGTGTTGAGATTGTATTCCCTGTGTAAGTTTTCACTTTTGAGAAGGTTTAAGACTTTAGGTATATATGATCATTTTTCATTTTGTTGGTCTAAATGTGGTAAACAAAGCGGTTGTTGGAATATATCACAGTTTGTGCTTCTCTATCATTTGAATAAGTTGCTTGATTGCTTTGCTTGGTAAGTTCCACAAACAAGGCCCGACATAATCAACCAGTGGATCTGCTTCGACCTGTCGTACCTAATCGCCTTTGTGGTCCTGCCGGCGGTCTTCTGCTTCTAGCGGTGCTGCTTCCATGGCCGAGGGAGGGTGAGGATGATGAAGGGCTGGGAGAGGAACTTCCAGATGCCACGGAACATATTCGAGAGCTGAAAAAGAGTGTTTTTCAAATCATCATTCCTTCCTGGAAAGCTTGATGATTGTTCATGTACGAATTCTGAAGAATCTGGTATTATTATTATTATTATTATTATTTTGTTGGATCTTATAAGTAAAGTTGCTCTTATTTTTTCATTTCCAAAGTATTTTAGAGATATTCATAGGTGAGGGAGACTCGGCTGGTGGGAGTGCCAAACAAGTCCGTGATCGTCGGTTTCCTTGTGATCTTCTCTTCTGACAAATGTTTCGGATGTACTTGTGTAGGCCTCTGATTAGATCTTAGCTAGAAATTTGTGTAGGTTGCCGTCACTACTTACAAAGAAATTGATGCTCATATACCCAATTACCCTAGCTTGTCGCCCCAATTGATTTGCCAGCTCCACAATGTCACAATGCATGTGGGTTTTGATCTGTGTCTGTTGGTGGTTTTGATTTGAAGAAGAAATTGTTAGACGATAGAGAATTCCCAAAAATGCACCATGACCTGCAGCGCCTATTGCAGGTAATTAATGTTGCTAGACATTCTGTAACTTCTATAAATGTTTGTCCATGTTGTATTATCATTTTTTCTAAAGAAATCTGAATGGACAATCAATTGATGCGTTTTTTTCTTTTTTTTTTATAAAAAAAATCAGGTTATGAATAGTATTAAACACTACTATATTCTAATTCATTCTGAAATTAAGTTGGTTAATGAGTTCGTAAAGTGAGCTGATCATATGTTGCTAGATAATCCCTGCCTATGGAAGATTATCTTGAGGTTGTGAAATTCTGTATTGCAATGAAATTTCACTTTGCAGAAATGATAAAGTGGAAATGAATTTGGGATATTGCAAAAATACACCCTTTTCACATTCTTTGCAACGTAATATTACTTGTTGGAGAGAATCTTGGGAAAATGAGACACAAACAGTATAGTATATGGCTGGTATCATTTAAAGTGACATGATTTGTTAATTTCTCTCGAGTTATATATCTGAAATGAAATTAGGCTGATGTTCTACCCTTGATTCGTGCATGCAAAAATTTACAAAGATCGCGAAAGATTTAGACTCACAAGACAAACGACATTCTGGCAGCGGCAGATGATATAGGCAGTTGATGATATAGTATTTGTACATATACATATATATATATATATATATATATATATATTCTTGTGATTTTTGATATTTTAGTTTATATTGTTTCTATATTTTTGGAAATGACTCTTTGACTATTCAACACAAATATATGCTCACGTGACTTAACCTTTGTGGAGAATCTGGAAAGTTTTCAAGCTCATCATAATAAGCATTTTCAGTAAGATGCCAGTTCTAAGATTTTTATTTAAAAGTTTTCAGTTCTTTCTAATGCCCCATAATTTTGCAAGGCAAGCCTATGTCAGAGTTTTCCCCTCATATCATGTAACTATTTACATGTTTCTCTCTGGTGCTATATGCCCATACTTGGCATTGGAGACATGTCGTCAGTGGTGGTTGAGCAATAAAACTGTAAACCTAATGCAAAATGGAAAAATGCCCGCTGTTGCTATTGAACAGGCTCAACATAATTTTTGCAAATTTTGTATGTTGTTATATGAACCATTTTCTGGATTTAATCATTTAAACATGCTTGTTTACAAGTCACTTTGAATTCATACTCTTATTTTTACCATCAAAATACTAACTCTGGTTGCGACAAAGTATGAGCTCCAGTAAATATAATGTTTAGTTATTGATGTTATGTGGGTTCCTGTGTTATTTGAACATACCTTATTTGCACTGATTATGCACTTCCTTCCTTTGCTTTGCTTTAGCTTCCGTTCCCACAAGCGTAATGAGTTCACTCCATCGTTGCACCGAAAATCTTCAATAGGCGTATGATGCTTGTTGGCCCACCATCAACTATGCAGTCAAGATGATGTATGCTTCGGTCACATTTCGGATCAAAGAACTAATCATGATTGTTCAGGTCAGTTTTTATGTACCCAGTTGTGGCTATCTGTGAAGGTTTTCTCTTTTTATAATTTACCAAAAAGCCCCAGCTATTGTTTGCGATTGTTTGATTGACATATTTTCATTGCCTGGATAAGAAAATACTAATGAAATCAAAGATAATTTAGGGTGAGGTGGAGATTGTAAGTATGGTACATTGAAAAGGATTCATCTTCATTATAATGGGGTTGTCTAATGATTTGGACTTCAGCAGATATTGTTTGTATGTGAGAATGAAATTTTAC